CACAGAAACAGTACTATATAACATTTTAGACACATTCTAGACAGTTTATCAGCTAAAAAAAGTTAATTTTGGGGTAAGTTACTCTTTAAGGAATATTATGTCACACTATAACATTTTTATGTCTAAATGACTAATTTTACTTGAAGTTCTGGTTATAACATCCACTTTATTTTGATGTTTGTTGTTGAAACCGTTTTACAATATATATAAAACATTCTTCTGTACTTCTGTTAAGCTCATTTGTACGACAGCAAAAATACTGGCTTTGATTATGATTACAGTTTTCTGCTAAGTAGATGCTCTAAAAATTACATTATCTTTACTTTTTATGATAATTTTCTACTGCGATATAAAACCGTTACCGTGAAGGGATTAAATTTATACCGTGATATGAATTTAAGGTCATACCGCCCAGCCCTACTGTCAATGTTTAACAGATTATTCAGATATTGACTAGTTTGGTGATGTTTATTTAACAAACAAGGGTCTCAGTAGCATGTGGAAGAACCATATACAGCCACAATCACCTGGCACCCACTCCTAATGCTTGGTAACACACTGCAAGCAAACAGGTTTACTTTGCAGAATTCCTCAAAACTCTTACTCTGAGTTTTATTGAATCCTCTTACAGAGTTGTTGGTAAATTCTGTGATGAAAATCTGCAGTCTTCAGCTGAATAAACCAATGCTTGTTATTAACTAAAGCTAATTATGTTATGTTAGAGGAGTTGAGCTGTGCAAATCTAACTGAATTTATCAATCCTTTTCTTTCTCTGCTCCTACAAGACGTACCTGTTGGTTTCCACATTGATGACTTTAATGCCCAGCATGGTTCCATACAGCACAAAGTGACCCGTCTCATCAAACAGAACGTTTGTCAGTCGAACAGCGTCCACCTTCTCCAGTTCTCTCTCCACGGCCATTCTCCTCCCAAACTCCATGTCCGGCAGCTGCTGCCTCATCTGCTGCAGCTCTGTGAACATCTGACAGATGGAGCAGGCGTTAGACACAGAAACACACAAACTACGTAAACACACAGGCTGAGAATGGTGTCCACTCACTGTTAAAGATTCATCAAACACTCGCATCAGTTTTCCTGTCAGGAAACGGAAAATTCTCACTTTCCTGTCAGAAGCTATGGTGGCCATTTTCCTCCCATCAAGGGAGAAGGCCAGGCTGACAGGATAGGTTTTGTGTTTAGCAAATTCATACAGGTCTGTGTCCGTTTTGTACTCCCAGTCCACGTGTTTGGGAAATCTGAATTCATTGGGAAGGCCTGTCCAGTACTCAAGCATTCCTGATTTGTCAGCCGAAACAATAACTCTGAATTTAGGATTCAAGCGGATCTGGGACAGAGGTGAGGAGTGCATTTTATCAAAGACATGAAGGGGCTCGTTGCTTCCTCTTCCATCATACACAAAGATCCTGCCTGTGGATTTTTCTGAGCAAGCCACGGTGCAAATGGCATCTCCAGGGTTGTATATCCACTCACACTGGCCTGGATGAAAGCTACAGGTACAGAGAAGAACAGAAAAACATCTACTTACACATCAGAAAGTAGGAAAAGTTACTTTAAAACTACTAACAGATGCAATAAACAACCTGCCATTTAGACCTACCCTAACTTTAGCATATTGATCATGTCGAAGTTGACCACATCAAATATTTTCATGGCCCGATCATCCCCAACAGAACAGAAGAGAGCTCCTTCAGCACTGACAGCAATACTTTCAATCACACCTACACACAACGGAAGCAAAACATCATTAAATATTCAAAATACAGATTAAACATTTCCTCTGTTTAGGTTAAAACTAGGGGTCGACCGATACAGCTGTCCGTTCGGCCGATCCGTTCTTTGAGTCATGTGAGCGCATGTGTCCGCCCCTTCCCCCGGGGAGAGAGAGAGCAGCTAATGTTGTGAGACAGAGTGCAACAACAATAAGGGTGAGTTATGAACTATAAATGTGTTTTAACTGTCTAATTTAACTGTTTCTGTCCTCTGTGTCGGAATATGAGGGGAGAAAGAACAGCTGAGTTTAAGTTTCACTTCGAACGGGAGCGCCTTAGTTTCACTTTGAAGCCGCACTGTAATCAGCGTGTCCGCATTGTTTATCTTTTAAAATCTGCTGGAACTGCTCACAGGAGGCATAGAAGAACACCTCTGTTGTTCTCCCTGCTGGATTAAAATAAAATAATAAACTCGGTCTTTTCTCGCTGTTATGTTTTAGCGAGCGCAGCCGTCCACCATGTGAACCAGACTCTGCTCAGATCACGTTTGTTCTGACTGCAGTATAAAGTCATGATGCAGGTTTCCTTCAGTGTACATTTCAAACTGTGATCTAAACTTAACTTCAGCTGGTTTAAATGTATTTTTTGCCCGGTGTAAAAAAAACGGGTGCAGACTGAGGCAGACTGTGAGCGTTGTGTGTGAAGTCCTCACAAAGATAGCCAGATGGATGTGTGTGCCTCCTTTTTCTCTGTGTTCCTCTTGTTGCTGTTTTTGCATCAAAAAATCTGGGATTTTAAAACAGTCATTTATTTTATGTAAATAATATATTAATCTGATTAATATACAAATAAAAACAGAATATKTAGCACTAGATAAAATAAAYCATGRATTTATTWTTWWTTTTTTTAAGAAAGGGCTGAAAGAAGAAATCCTGTGTGGCAGCACTTCATACAGCCTGCACCAGACAAGGCTCAGTTAATAAATGTTTTTGTTTGTTTTTTTTGTTTTAAATTTGTTTGTAACATTTGTTATTATTCTGATCATATTAATGGAGAAAGAAAAGCTTCAAGAATCTGCCAAAAAACAATCGGCTGCATGTATCGGTTAGACTGATGTAAAAACATCGGTATCAGCCTTCAAAACCTGCATCGGTCGATCTCTAGTTAAAACATTTTCAGATTTTACCAAGATGGCTTCGAAAGTGTTTCACAAATTCTATTCCGTTGTCCTCCTTCTTTTTCCAAAATTTGACGTGTCCATCCTGGCTGGCTGTGATGACGAAGTCTGTCCTAAAACATAGAGAGAGACAGAGAGACCGAGACGCAGAGGGAGACAGAGAGACAGAGAGAGAGACAGAGAAAGAGACAGAGAGACAGACAGAGAGAGAGAGAGAGAACTACTTGTCAATCACCAACCTATGACACAGGTAGAGGTCATGACAAACAGGGTGTGCCTGGTCTCTTGCATATGTGTACATAATTTACATTTAAAAACATATATATATAGTGTGTGTGTATGTTTGTTCTACATACAAACATACACACACCTTGTATTTCATTTTTACATTTACTATGGATGTTGACATTTCGTCAGCAGCTGCTGCCATTTTGTTCCCAAACTGCTGTGACCAGATTTTACAAAGCTGCTCTGTGTTTGTAATTTCCTCCTGCTTCGTTATTTCTACGAGTTTCAACAAAGCGCGCTGACGTCAGGTAGTTAGCTACAGCCTCGTCTTCTAGTTTTTTATTTTTGTTGAGTTTTGAAGAGACAATTTTTTGAAAGGCGGATCAAAATAAATCACCCGTGTTTTTCTAGTGAACCTTAAAGAGATAAGCTGCCAGGAAGAACATTATTTATCTACCCTTCTTCCAAATTTGATAATGATTTGAAACGTCGAAGTATGTTTTTTTAAATCCTGAACAGCGCTTGTTGCAAAGTGTTTTGATGCTCGTCTTCGTCACTTGACACATTTAACACGCTGTCATTGGTTGAGGAGCTTTGTTTACAAAACACATGTCCACATGCTTTTTAAATTGTTTTAACTTCCTTACTTTATAAGACACATTAAGTTGATTTGGTGCTACAGTTTGCCTTGTAATGTTATTTTATAACTTTTCTGCTACTTTTGAATTGGCTATTATTAAGTTTTATTAGTTTTTAGGATACAAGATGCTTCCTACAAAAACCAGAATGTGACTCTTTTCCTGAAATTTCATGGCGATATCTTGAACACTGAGGAAGTTGTGAGCAAAAATAGAAAACAAGAAGGTGAAATGATCCCATTGGTTCTGCTGTGAACTGCAGCAAGAAAACATGAGCTGATTTCACCTGAACAAACAATAACTTCCCTTATACTTCAGAAAAATCACATGATTTTGTGTTATTTTGTATGGTTATTTATTCTTTTGGAATCTGCTGTCAGATTTAATATTAGTGCAGGATTAAAAATGTATCCACAGCCCTACATATAAGTAATACACAGATAAATCCACGAATGATGAATATATTTTATTGTACAGACTGTGCACTCAGTTAAAATGTTATTTGGTCAAATGTAAAATGATCAAAGATCATATTTGTGTCTAAAACCACTTACTTGGAACAAACTAAATGCGTGATAACGTCTCTGTGCATGTAACTCCGTTCATACATGGCGGCTGATGGAAGATTGTCCAGGTAGACACGTTCATATTCAAGAACTGAAGAGAAAAACAAAAACACAAGTGTTAGCAGGTGAGTTTGGATTAGCCCAGGAGCGCGCCATGACAGTAAAAAGTGGTTAAATTAAAGTGTGAACGCCCGCCTTTCCGTTTCTTTGTCTTTGAGGCTTCACTTGGCATAGGTCCGACCCAGTCTGTATCTTCTCTTTCCCCATCTCCATCCAGGCCTTCTGCAGCTTTTCGCTTCAGCTCCACATTGTTTTCAGTCGACGCCATAACTGCGAACTCCGCGGTCCTTTCTTCGTTACTGTCCTTTCTTGGTAACTTCCGGTTCCGGTTGGCTCAGGGCAAATCCCAGTCTTCTTGATATAATTGTTCACATATATTTATAATTTATTGTATCCTTTGTGATTTATACCACACTTTAGACTTTAATAGTATTTGTTTAACTTCAAAAAGCATGATGGATTGTAGGAACCAATGTGTTCGCTCTTGTTTTTAGGGGTTTGATTTTACAAAACACGTGGACGAAACCAATGTTTCCATCATCCGGGGGGGATCAGCGTTTATGACTTTATTTTATCATTAATATTCTTCATGGTTGACTCACATATTTGTAAACAAGTTTCAATAAGTAAATATATTTAATTATAAGTAGTATCATTTGACAATAAATACAATAAATTATATAGATATGCACATGTAGATTTCTAGACTCCCCCACGCACCCAGAAGTAAACAACCCGCTAGCAAACATTGCTAGCTAACTTTGTTGTGGAGAGCACAGCGTGAAATTAGTCGCAGGAAATGGAGATAGTTATAAAAATCAGTATCTGTTTATTTCATGGTGAGGTCAAGTGTTCAAAGCTTTGAAGATAAGTTTGTTTATGTTCTAAAAAGCTCGAGAACAGGTGCAAAATGAGCAACATTTACATCCAAGAGCCACCAACAAGTGGAAAGGTGAGGACGTTTTTGCACATTTCAGACACGATCTTTCAGTGTTTTATTTATCAGTGGAGTGGTTAAATTCCTGTACGTTTTGCTAGTTAGGGCCTTTTACAGTTTTGTGAGGTAAAATGAAATTGTAGAAATGTGTCGGGTAAATTTACAGTTTTAATAGCAGCAAATGTCAAAGGAAAGGTTTACAGGACAGTGTGGGACCAGCTGTTGTAGGTTTGGATCCAGTAGTGACACAAACAAACCAGACAAAACTGGAAGAGTCAGAGCTGAAGATGTTCAGGCTCTCCTAGCACAGGGGTCTGCAACCTTTACGATCAGAAGAGCCATTTCTGCTCCTTCTCTCACTAATAAAAAGTGTTCAGAGCCGCAAAACAAGCTACAACTGTGATTATCAACTGGTGGTCCATGGGCCTTTTCAAGGCCTTTTTGGGAACTTTTACGGTCAGTGGAGGTGACGTTATAAAACTAAAGGAATATTGTTATTATTATTTTATTTATTATTATACACATCAGGACAAATAAAAATAACATTTTCATGTAAACAAGAAAAACACTGTATATATTTTATACTGAATTTCATAAAAAAAACAGTACATCTGAATTATTCAGGCACATTTATTTTCTAATTCTTATTATTATAGTCGTCAAATTTTTTGAAAGGTAATTCTGACGGATTTGAAAGAGAGAAAAATTGGAATATTTAAGTAAACAACAGGCTAGCATGAGCTACATGCTACTTTTACATTACTTTTTGTTTTAGTAGTATTGATCATATTCTTGCATACAAATTGATTTCTGTTGTGGGCATATACCACCCCTCCAAAGAGCCACAGGTTGCAGACCCCTGTCCTAGGGAGTGATGAGGATGGATGAGATCATCAGTATTAGGGTTGGGCAGTATTGGCAAAAAAAATTAAAAAATCACTTGGTGCATTTAACCCATAACGATTAACTTGTCAATTAATCACCTGGAGTCCCTTATATCCTGGTCACATGACCAATTTAGTTGGAAAGATTTGCTCTTCATAAAAATCAGTTCCAAATTGTGTCAAAATTATAGACTTCAGGCAATATATACATCAAATTTTAAATTGTGTTGATAGATAAATAAATTACAGAATTTTATGTTCGTCATATTTGATGCAGAGAAGAGCACGGAGCGGACTGACTGGAGCCATTAATGCTATTAACAAACAAACAACCAAATTTATTTCAAACATGATGACCATACAATACAAAGAGATAACCATACTTAAACATATTACACATATTAAATACAAATACACATATATTATCCATCCATCCATCCATC